GGGGGGGGCGTTCAGATGCCCAGCCAGGACTCGCCAAGCGTAATCGCTGACCCTCCGGTGGCCAGGCAGGAGCAGCAGATCGGGACGCCTCGCCAAGACGTCCTCGATCACCTGGCAGTAAGGTCGTTTTGCCGCCAGAGTGGAGGACCACCGGAGGATCATCAGCGCCCCGGCRATCTGAGGGCTTGTCATCTCTTCCTCCCACGGCGGCAGAGACGGGACCGGTTCATCATAATCAGCTGAGGCAAAACCAATCGTGTGAAGTTCAGGCGGCGGTGGAGGAAAAAATCTGCCTTGTGGAGGGGCAGACCAGAAAAACCTCTCCTAGCGGGCTGGTTATGTGGTCGGATCATTTTGTCAGGATTGCAGGCAGAAAAACCCAGGGCGCAGGCGAGGTTCAAAAGGTGTAACAAAAAAAGCTTTAATAAAACAAAAACACTGTCAATGCAGCTCAAAAAACTCATAAGTACTTTCTTGGACGAACAGGCATGAGGGAGACGAAGCACAAGTACAAAGCACAATGATCTGAAAAAACACAGAGGACAAGACTCAGAATATAAAGCAAACAAATTAAGAGTTAACGGGAAACACCTGGGGAGACACAGGAATCAGGTGAGCGTGGGCAGGGCTGGAGGCAAAACAGAAAGAAAAGGAAAACACACGGTAACAGAAAAACAKAGAAAATGACRACAAAAACACAGATCTTGACACTTTATTTCAGTAAGATTCTGGTTTCATACGTCTCTCAGCACCTGTTTTAAAGTGGGTTTATATGAAAATTATTAATGAATAAAATTCATTCATTCTTGGAAATATTCTGTACAATAATGTGTTATATCTGTTGTAGAAAACTTTTTGAACAAACTCAGGAAAAAATAATTTCTGAGCAGGCTGATGAGCTAACGGCTAGTCTGAGTGAGGCCGAGAACAGAGTGAATTTCTGGTGGCTTCAAACAAATCCAATCAGAAAAATGTCCAAACTGTTTTATGAAGTTTCACACCACCGCACATCTAACATTATGCAGACATTTATTTAGAATCACATGGTTATTTCCAAGTGCACATAGCAGCAGCAGCTAGCTGTAGCACTTCTGATGCAGCCTGCTGCACTTCCTGCAGGAATRTTATATTTCTGCTGGAATAACCGTGTAGGTTTCAAAAATTGTTTTCTTTAACTACTTGTGAAATTTTGRGATTGAATTAGTTTTTCAACGACAGCAGTTCACTTTACGTCACAAACGCTTGACCCCTTAAAAACTCCTAGACCCCTGAGATCTTCTTATCCAAGTCTTTTAGTTCTCATCTGTCTAGTCTGCTTCAAATCTAACCTAAAGCCTACCTCTGCTCAAGRTGCCTTTGTGTTCACTTCAGTCTTGGGTCTAATTTTTTCTATATTTGATTGTTTTTCTGTCTCATTCAATGATTTCCTTCTTTTTTAATTGTTTATTTTCTAACTGGTTTTAAAAGGTGCTGAACAGATAAAGGTTTACTTAACTTCATCTTGGCCCTGTTCAGATCACCAGTTAGCTCTGATCAGACTCAAGCTCTATTTCTCCAAACTGMGTTTGTTCAAAGAGCTATCTACAACAGGTAAGACATTAATTGTTCATGGTCTTTCTGCAGAAAGACCATCTTTCTGCTTTATAAGACCTGAAGTGTTGCTTGAAGGTAAAGGTTCAGAAGAATCCATGAGTGTATTCTTGACAGAAATACATCTTTGCATGCACGTTGCTGCCTTCACTGGGAAACAWAAAATCAACAGATGTTACAGCAGGAACACACAGCTGCTACATAAACATATAAAGAAGACCTGATAGACTTCAGTTATCTTTTTATCAACAAATAACTGTTTTAGTCAGACCTGCTCAGTAGAAAAGTTTAATTCAGACCCTTAGACACATTTATTTTATTTTATTTTATTTTATTTTATTTTATTTTATTTTATTTGGCAGATAATGTATTTGATTCATTTTATACTGGAATATATCTGTTGTCTTCCTTGTTTACATTGAAAATTAATAATCTTAATTCTTGAAGGTTTTTTTTAATTATTAGCTTATGGTTATTTAATAGAAGCCGACACCTTTGATAGTTTGTGATCTCCTCACAGTTTGGTCAGATTTACAGATGTCATACATGTTAAACAATTTAATACTTTTAAGTTGCCAAAAATGATTGAGTGGTCTGACCCTCATGTCCTGAAATAACCTCAGTTGTGTTTCTGCTTGAAGGCGTTGGAGCTCATTGGCTCATCATCCTCACATGAACTTCACTTTAAGTTCCTCCGTGACTTTGTTCTGCTGCGGTTTCCTGCCGGCGGTCTGGTAAACATTAACATCAGTCAGAGGGAGCTGCTTTTGGAGAACACTCCTGGGRATGCCCGTTCGTATGCTACGTTTCTGACTGGATAAGCAGATTAGACGGATTAGAGATAAATTTGTAGCCTTTATCAGCCTAATGAGCATCATTATTGCTCAGTTATAAACAATCCACAGGGTAGCATACTGGGCCCATTGCTTTTCCTATTATACATGAATGACCTACCAAAAATATTGAAGTATTCAAATATTTTAATGTATGCTGATGATACTGTTCTTTTTTTGTCTGATTTCAATATTGGATCTATTAATAGTCAGTTACAAGCAGATCTTCAGACATTTCATGGTTGGCTTCAAGATAATCTTTTGTCAGTTAATGTTAAAAAAAACTGTGTGCATGTATTTTTCCTCACCTAGGAGACATTTCAATATAACAAATCAACTCACTTTTTTAAACAAACCCCTTGATATTGTCACTACCTACAAATATCTTGGAATTACTTTAGATTCTCATTTGACTTATCGTGATCATGTACAAGTCTTAACCACTAAGTTGAAACGGAAATGTTACGTTTGTTCAAAAATTAGATCCAATCTGACATCTTCTGTTTCAAATATCTATCTTCATGCCGTTATACTCTCAACCATGTCGTACTGTTTACCTGTTTGGTCTCTTACAACAAATGAAATCTTAGAACCCATAGTTAGGATCTACAACAGGGCCTACAAAATTCATAAAAAACTTCCTGGTTGGACTCATCACTGTACAGTTCTTTCATTGTCTGATGCCTTGACTTTTCAGAATTATGTTTTGTATAGTGGTATTAGTTTATATTTTCAGATCTTCCAAGGTGCCAATTATGGAACTCTCTGTGCATTGTTGCCCAAATCACATTCTGGAAGTGGTCATTCAACTAGATCTGTTACAAAAGGACAACTGATATTACCAACTTTTAAAAACTATTATGGCCAGAAGTCTTTCTTCTATGTTTATACTAAAGCATGGAATGACATTCCTCAAAACATAAGGTCCATTTCAAACCTACAGCCCTTTAAGAAGAATCTTGTCTGCCATCTGCTGGACACTTTYTGTTGTGCTCATATTTAGACGTCCTATTTTGCAAATGCTGCCTTCCTGAAATTTGGTATGCTTGTTTGTCTTTGTGTCTATGGTGTATAATGATGTGATTGTGATGCTGTATTTCTGAGTGTTTTATGTGCTGCAGAACAGGAACCTGCCGTAAAACAGCAATTATGCTGAGTCAGGCTTGATTTTTAATAATCTTTTCCTGTTGAATCAATAAATCAAATCAAATCAAATCAATCCCTAAGGATGACACCAGGGTTGTTTTCTCAGACTATAGATGAAGATTTTTGTTTTTATTTTTTTGCACTGACCTGCAGATTTCCCGTGTCCAGCTGATGAGTTCAGTGTAAAACCTGCAGCATTAAACATGTAACATTGTGTAGCTGTGTACTCAGAYGAGACGAAGAGG